GAGGAAGGCAGCAAATCACACTGCCATGTGTGTTCCTATGCAACAATTTTGCATGTTCTTCACATGTACCCCAAAACCTAAAATGCAATAAAATAAACAAATGGGAAAAAAAAAAAAAAGTATTTAAGTCATTGACTCTGGAGCAGACTTTCTCAATTAAGGTTCAGCAAGAGAATTAATCTTTATTGCCCTAACACTTCTATTTTATGTAATAAACTAGCTTCTCTCCTATGCATCTATCATATTAGCTATGTGCCATCCTTGGGAGAATTAAGAAAATAGGTGCTCAAATCATTTTTCTTGTTCAATGATTCAGAAAGAAAGCACTGATTGAGAATAGACTGCTTCTGGAGAGTGGGATTCAGGGGTGAGAAGGACTGAGCCAGAAGATTGTCGTTTTTCTTTACTTTTCTTTTTTGAGACAGGGTCTTACTCTGTTGCCCAGGTTGAACTGCAGTGGCAAGATATCAACTCACAGTGCTGGGCTCAATCGATCCTCAAAGGAACCTCAGCCTTCCAAGTAAACGGAACAACAGATGTGTGTCACCATGACCCAGCTAATTTTGTTTATTTTTTGTGGAGACAAAGTCACACTATGCTGCCCAAACTGGTCTCAAACTCCTGGGCTGATGTGATCCTCCTGCCTCAGCCTCCCAAAGTGCTGGGATTACAGGCGTGATCCACCGCACCCAGCCAGTTTTTCATTATAATCCATGAAGTATTAATTAACTCTTTATGTACAGGTATTCCTTTGATAAAATAAACATTAAATTTAAAATAAACATAACAGTAAAAAGTAGTAGTAAAAGAACTCTGACTATAGGATGTATTTAACAAAGCACAGAAACTGAAAGGTCTAGAAATAGTTTCTTTCTTTTTTTTTTTTTTTTTTTGAGAAGGAGTTTCGCTCTTATTACCCAGGCTGGAGTGCAATGGCGTGATCTCGGCTCATTGCAACCTCCGTCTCCTGGGTTCAGGCAATTCTCCTGCCTCAGCTTCCCTAGTAGCTGGGACTACAGGCACGCGCCACCAAGCCCAGCTAATTTTTGTATTTTTAGTAGAGACGGGGTTTCACCATGTTGACCAGGATGGTCTCGATCTCTTGACCTCGTGATCCACCGGCCTTGGCCTCCCAAAGTGCTGGGATTACAGGCGTGAGCCACCGCGCCCAGCCTGAAAGGTCTAGAAATAGTTTCTTATTAGCAACAGCCAGAGAATTTTTTTTAAAATAAATTATGGAATTCATTAAATAACATCTATTTACAAAACATTCTTATCTATATAGCAATGCTCTACTAAGCATTATGTTATTTGAGGTGCCAAGAAAGATATAAAAAAGACAATATAACAATTTGTAAAAGGTATGACAATTTAATATGGTATACCCAAATGTTTTAACATGAAATCTCACGTTGCATACATTTCCCTTTCAATCAAGATGTACTTTCTGTGCCAACAATCTACCACATTTAGAAGAAGACATAAAAGAAATAAAACATATACTCCTTTTTTAATTTATTTTCCCTTTTATTTATTTATTTATTTTTTAGAGACCGGGTTTCACCATGTTGGTCAGGCTGGTCTCCAACTTCTGACCTCAGGTGATCCGCCCGCCTCGACCTCCCAAAGTGCTGGGATTACAGGCGTGAGCCACCGAGCCCAGCAGTACTCCCTTTTTAAATAGGTTTATTTATATGTACATGTGACTTATTTTAGGTAGTATTTTTATTCACTTGGCTATTTATATACTTTTAGATTTAAGAAAAAAATCTTCATAATATTTCCAATAAAATGGTTGTTTTTTTTTTTTTTTGAGATGGAGTTTCACTCTTGTTACCCAGGCTGGAGTGCCATGGCGCGATCTCGGCTCACCGCAACCTCGGCCTCCTGGGTTCAGGCAATTCTCCTGCCTCAGCCTCCTGAGTAGCTGGGATTACAGGCATGCGCCACCATGCCCAGCTAATTTTTTGTAGTTTTAGTAGAGACGGGGTTTCACCGTGGTGACCAGGATGGTCTCGATCTCTTGACCTCGTGATCCACCCGCTTCGGCCTCCCAAAGTGCTGGGATTACAGGCGTGAGCCACCGCGACCGGCCCTAAAATGGTTTTTAAAAATCTCTTCATGATTAAAAAAAATTGGCAGTAACATGGAAGATTAATCAGACAACCAACAAAACCAGTAGTAAGGAGACACTTAAAATGGTTAAGGGAAGAGGTGAAGGCCTGAACTGAGGCAGTGCAGTGGAGAAATAAAGGAAACAGATATAAAGGTGGCTACAATGAGCCAGGCATGGTGATGCCCCCCTGTGGTCCCAGCTACTCCAGAGCCTGAGGTGGGAGGATCAGCTTGAGCCCAGGAATTTGAGACCAGCCTGGACAATACAGTGAGATCCTGTCTCAAATAAAAATAATAAAATGAAATAAAAGTGGCAAAAGAATGAGAACTTTTGGAGACTGAAAGCAAGGGAGAAAGCTGGATTAGTGCCAGGTTTCCACCATGAGTGTCTAGGGTAGATGGTGGTGCCACTGACCATGACAGGCAATACAAAGAGGAGCAGGATTAAGGGAAAACATGAGTTCACGTTTGGACTGTTTGAAGTACCTTGAGAACATCCTGGGAGAAATATCCAAAAGGCAGCTGAATATAAGAATCTGGAATGCAGGACAGGAGTCTGAGATAAAGATTTGGGAATTGGCAACACACAGCTCTTAATGGATGAGATCACCTAGGAAGGGAATATATTTAGAAGAGGACAAGAGCCTGCCATCAGATAACTAAATATCACAATTCATGTTCCTAAAACCACTCAGGATAAACTTTGCCCAGTTACATGTACTGCTGTAGAAAAATATCCAACATATAATGTTAAATGAAAGAAAATCAAATCACAAAACTATGCATAGTGCAAACCTATTTTTACAAACAAGTTGTAAAAAAAAAAAAAATAACAAAGGCACAGTAAAAAAAAATGAAGGAACAAACATTAATGATGTTAGTAATACTGTAAATCTAGGAATGGGATTATGCAAGCATTTCAGGGCTACACGACATGTCTCATACTCTTTTACTTTTTTAAAATAAGCATGTACTCTTGTAAACAGAGAAAACACAATTTTGTTCTTTTCCTTAAAAAAAAACATATAGAACATATCCTTACAATATATTTAAGAAGATAAAAAATGTGTTGGAAAAACACTTGGACGCTAGACTATAAATGGGCAAATAATATTAGCAGACAACTATTAAGATTACAAAAAATCTTCAGTGCACTATCAAAGTAATGAGAATAAGAACATATACCATTTATTGCCTACTAAATTGAAGCCATTTTTTAAAATAATAAAGGTACTCAATGTCAGTAAGGGTGTGTTGTTTGTTGTTTTTTTTTAAAGCATGTCAGACACTGCTGACAAGAAATAAACTGGTACTATCTCCCAGTTTATTTGTCTACTGTCTCTACTAAAAATAGAAAAATTAGCCAGATGTGGTGGCACACACCTAGAGACAGGGTTTCACCATGTTGGCCAGGCTGGTCTCAAACCCCTGACCTCCAGTGTTCCGCCCACCTTGGCCTCCCAAAGTGCTGGGATTACAGGCATGAGCCGAGCCACCCCACCTGGCCAGCTGTCTGGCTTTTACTGGACTCCCCCCAAGCCCCCAAAGAGAAAATAACTCAAAACAACTAAAAGCATGCAAAGATATTTTACCAAATCATTAGTTGAAACAATGTGAACACCAACATTAGTACACAAGAGAAAATTACACAGGCATCACACTTTGTGTTTGTGTTTAACAAACAAAAAAAAAAAAAAAAGCAAAACTCTATGACCTAGCAATTCTACTTACAGAAAAATACTAGCACTGGTACACCAGAAAACATCACAAAGAACCTTCACTGTTGCAATGTTTGTTTGTAATAGTGCAAAATTTTAAACAATCGAACAGCCCATCAGTCTAAGAATGGTTAAATCAGCTTTCTCAAACTGTGGTCTCAGGGTCCTTGGATGTCCCAGGGATCCTTTCAGCAGGCTTGTAAGATCTCTTCCCTTTTCCTACTACATATCTGTGCAAGGCTGGCTTTTCTTCATATGCTTCAACCTTAGCCAGATAGCACAACAGACTGAACAGAAGCAAATATGAAAATCCAGCTGTCTTCTATAAAGCCAAACATTAAAGTGATTTGCAAAAATTTAAAACAATGCCACACTCCTCTTTTAAGTTTTGTTTTAGAAAATAGTTATTTTTCACTCAAAAAGTATTTAATATACGAGTCTTTTATTTTTAAATAAATAAGTAAAACACTTCAGTTTTCTCAGTTTTAATTTCCAAAATAGTAAATACACTGCATTAGGAACCAAAAACTAGTACTGGTTCTCAATAGTTTTATTTATGTTTTGTGTGTGTGAGACTGAGTCTCGCTCTGTCGCCCAGGCTGGAGTGCAGTGGCGCAATCTCAGCTCACTGCAACCTCCGCCTCCTGGATTCAAGCGATTCTTCTAACTACAGGCGCACGCCACCATGCCCAGTTAATTTTTGTATTTTTAGTAGAGACGGGGTTTCACCATATTGGCCAAGCTGGTCTCAACCTCCTGACCTCGTGATCCACCTGCCTCGGCCTCCCAAAGTGCTAGGATTACAGGCATGAGCCACCATGCCCGGCCGGTCCTCAATAATTTTTTAGTGTAATTATCCCCATAATTTTGTAGTGAATAATTTTTTAGTGAAACATGAAAGCAACTGTGGCACTATCCTATCATGTAACATTATGATTGGGGATAATTAATGGGAATTTGGCTTTAACTGTTTCAAGAGATACTTTGCTCATGTATAATCAAGACGTCATTTCTACGAAGCTTTTTTAAAACATGGGGAAATGCTTATATCATTTAAATCAAGGAAAGCAGACAATCCAACGATATAAAATCTCATCTCAATTAAGAAAATGCACAGGGGGAAAAATGACTCAAAGGAAAAAGGCAAAATATTAAAAGTGACTGATTACCATCACATGGTGCAATTATGACTGATCATTTTTCCTTATTCTTTACTGTTTTTTAAATTTTTCCCACTAAGCATGCAGTTTAATATCCAGGAGAGAAAAAGAGGAAGAAATTAGGCGAAAAATGATATATAGTTCTACTGGATCAAACCATTAAACTCCTGCCAACTCAAGAAATGACAAGCTCAAGTGAATAAACGGAGGAATCTGATTGAATCAACAAAGTGCCTTTCTTTTACATTGAAAAGATTAACTGATTATCAAATGCATGCACTGGTTTCCATGCAAGTCAAACTAACAAGAAAGAACATCCTTAGTCTGGAACATAATATTTGCAATCACGGTAGTGCAAATTAGTTGAGTTAAAAACAAGGTCCTCTTTTTGGAGTTTCTCAAAAGTACCAAAGGAAAGGCAGCGGGAAAGACGTCTACTGCATCCTTTTGGTCTCTAACGAAGAGAAAAGCACGGGTGCGGGAATGGGCAGTGCGAAGGCACCGGCAGCGAAGAGACTCCTCTGCGGGGACCAAGCCTCTGCCACTGCTGAAGAACCACAGTCTCCTCCGCAGTCGTGGCCCCTCCCCAGACGGGACGGTGAAGCCAGGGCGCTTCTCCCTCCACCCGCCGGGGTTTCTCCTCCAGGAGCGCCGGCCACTCGGGCGGCCAAGGAGGGTGGAACCGGGCAAACAGCCGCCGTGATTGCCCTCCCGGTCCAGTACGGTCTGGCCCTTCAGGCTCCAGGAGAGGACAGATAATTGGAGGGCCAGGGTACCCCCGGGGATTCGGAAAAGGAGTCGGTCGGGGCCCAGGCTCTGTCCCCAGAGGAGGAGGAGGGCCAGACCCAGCACCCAGGTCGGCAGGTCCAGCGGCCACCCCGCCCCCTCTGTGGGAACAGCAGGGCAGAGGGAAGGCCTAGACGACTGGTCGCGGGGGGCTCTTACCTCCCCACACCCCTTAGAAGCTTTTTGCGCACTAGACGCGACGTCGAGCTGAAGAGTGAAGAGCGACCCCGGCCGGGAGTCCTGGGAGTGCCAAACGCCGGCTCTGGGTTTCTTTCCCCGCCCCACTGGCCCCGCCGAGAGCGCAGGCGCAGAGGAGGCTTCCCTTCGGCTCACACGCCCCCTCCCTCGGCGTCCGCGGCCTTCTCCAGGCCCAAGGCGCCTGCGCACAACGATGCAGGTTCCGAGCCGGGGCGCTTGGCTTCTTACCGGAAGTGTCTGAGTGGGTTCTGAGGTGACGAGGACCCCTGAAGATTCAGCCTTAGATCGGGACTAGGTTTCCCACTCGACGCCAGGATGGGGAGGCCACTCAGTATCTGACTTCCTTTACCCTTCGCTGACCTAGAGGCTGCTTCCCCGACCCTGAGCCGGCGCGGCGTTCCAGTCTCTACTGCACAGATCCGCCTGCCCGGCCGCCCGCTGGGCCTGCTCTCCGCGCTGCTGGCCCCTCGGAAAACCTAACTTTCTGTTTACTTCAAACTGGTTTTACTACCCGCTGCCCCCACTTCTCCCCCTCTTCCCCTTCCTCCGCCCGGCAGCCACAGAAATGCTCCCACCCCAACCCCGAGCTCCAAGCACTCCAGCTGACTGGACATTCCCAGCGACCTTTTCCTTCCCTTCGCTGCGTTAGTTCTGCTTTTTTTTTTTTTTTTTTTTTAAGCGGCCACTAGAACAGTTGTTTCAGTTGTTTCCCTGTCTAAAAGCAAAAGCTAACTTATCTGATGGAGAAATAAAATGTCACTCACTTGTATTTTTATGCTTGTTGAGCTTTGCTATTTTTTTTACCACAAGATTCCTATATATTTAAATGAGAGACCGGGCTCGGTGGCTCACGCCTGTAATCCCAGCACTTTAGGAGGCAGAGGCGGGAGGATCGCTTGAAGTCAAGAGTTCCAGACAGGCCTGGGCAACATAGCAAGACCCTGTCTCTACTAAAAATGAAAATAAGAAAATTAGCTAGGCCTGTTGATGCCTGTAGTTCCAGCTACTGGTTGGGAATCTAAGGTGGAAGGATTACTTAACCCCAGGAGGTCAAGGCTGCAGTGAGCGCTGATGGGAACACTGCATTCTAGCCTAAGGAACAGAACCAGACCGTATCCCTAAAAATAATAAAAATAAAAACAAGGGAAGAGACATCCATGTGGGATCAGATACAGACTGGGGGAAAAAGGAGTTCCTCAAAGGTATGTAATAGCTTACAGTTCATACTGATCTTGCAAAAATTGCAAGAATTGCTCAGGCGCTGTGGCTCAGGCCTGTAATCCCAGCACTTTGGGAAGCTGAGGCAGGCGGATCACCTGAGGTCAGGAATTCGAGACCGTCTTGGCCAATACGGTGAAACCTCGTCCCTACCAAAAATACAAAAGCCGAGTGTGGTGGCGGGCACTTGTAATCCCAGCTAGTTGGGAGGCTGAGGCAGGAGAATCGCTTGAACCCCGGAGGCAGAGGTTGTAGTGAGCTGAGATCGCTCCACTGCACTCCAGCCTGGGTGACAGAGCAAGACTCCGTCTCGAAAAAGAAAAAAAATTGCAAGAATTATAATTTCTCGAGTATTCCAGCCACATGTGATTTGTGATGAAAGATTTTAAAATCAGGGTTCACATCCTAAATCTGCAGTTGACAACTATAGTTCCTGATCTTTCAAAGATTCTTAATCTCTAACCTTGGTTTTCCTAAACAACAACATGAAATAGCAAAACTTTTGATTGCCTAAAATAATGTATGTATTGAGAATCTGCTATGTGACAGTGTGTTAGATGCTTTGCTTACATTATCTCTTTTAATCCTAAGAATAATTCTACAAAGTACAGTATGCCTTTTTCCTGCTATGTGTTAGGCATTGTTCGCAAATAAAATAAAATGGGGACACTGCCCATGAGGAACCACAGTCTAGTAGCAGAGACTCATATATACAAATGCATATTGGGGACAGAAGTATTTATACAGTACAGTGTGAGGACAAAAAGAATAGAAAAAAGATACAAACACCTTAAATAGATCAATGGGGAAAGTATATATAATGGCCAATTCACAAAATATGAAATTTAAATGCCTACTATACATTTTACCAATATTCAAACTCATTAATAAGAAACAGACAATAGAGAGGTTATTTCCCAGGCATCTAATTACCCAATGTTTAAAATGTGAATAAACTCCACTGGTGACAGAAGAGTGAAGTGGACACTTATACTCTGGGAGGGATATAAATCAGGACAAAGATTTTGGAAAGTTATTTGTCAAATCAACAACCTTATGAGTGTTCACATGATCTAATTTGATCATTTCTCTTTTGAAAATTATAAGGAGATAGTCCAGAACATTCTCTATGAAAAGATACTTAACCATGGTAAGTAAATTGATATAAATCTAAAATCCAACATTAAGAGAATGGCTAAAATGATTACTGCGTATATGTGATTAAAACTATTAATATAATGTTTACAAGGAATTTTTAATGACCTGAGGAAATTATCTCATGAAAAAACATTTTAAATATTTAAAAATATTTAACATTACCTATGTAGTATGAAGTCAGCTACAGTATACAATATATGTAAAAGAGTGAAGAAAGTATATCAAAAATGTTGGCCGGGCGCGGTGGCTCACGCCTGTAATCCCAGCACTTTGGGAGGCCGAGGCGGGTGGATCACGAGGTCAAGAGATCGAGACCATCCTGGTCAACACGGTGAAACCCCGT